ACTGTCTGGAGCCAAAGCAGTTGCATATGCAGAAATCCTGTGGTTCCAGTCCAAATATGTCCCAGTTTTGCGGTACCAGAAACGTGATCAGAGTGGGATCCACAGGAGGAGAGCAGAATTACTGGCCTGAACCAGGTCCAATTTGTTTGTTAAAAATAATGAAGTCAGTTCAATGTAACATTTTGAGAAACAGCAACGTGTTCCATGCGCATGGTGTGGTGGAAGGGGTTTACTGATCGCTAAATGCAGCCAGCTAACTTTGAATGGTAAAACTGCTCTTCCTACTGGGATAGCTTGTTTGCTTGGAGGTGGGCTGTTTCAGCAGGCTGGTGCCCAGCTCAGCTCTCCTGCAGTAGCTGCGTCCGTGCTGAGTCCTTCTGTCCGCTCTGGCCATGTCCTGGGGTGGGGAGGTGCTTCTGTAGGCGTATTTGTGGCATTATTTACTGCTATGGGTAAACCAGCCTCAACGAAAACACTATTCCAGTAAAAGCGCTGTGTTGCCGTTATAGCTGTACTCACCTGAAGGTGCTGATGTTGGTCAGAGATCGCTGCCGTCCCATTCCTGAAGGACAGTTCTGCAGATCCATGGCCTGGACGCAGCAAAGCAGCCTGCCCCCATCCCGGATCCCAGGGCACAAGCGGCGCATTGGATAAGGAAGCCCAGGCGCTGCCCTCAGGGCGGGCGCCAGGTGGAGAGGCTCTGCTGCTCAAAATAGAAATGTTGCGAAGGAAAAGCAAATGTTTGTTTTCACATTGACTTGACCTCTGAACTCACGAGGAAGTCACCTGCTGTTGTTTTTCCTAGATCCTCATGTGAATTAAAGACAAAAAGATGTGCTGTTAGGGAGGACAGGACTTCCGTGGAGTCTGGCCTCTGCCACGCGGGTTTAGCTGGCACCCAGGGATCCATCCGCTGAGGCCTCTCACCTGGGATCGCAGCGCCCGGGAGCCGCCGGTTCCCCCCAGGTCTGCCCTGCGCTGATGCAAGCGGAGAGGATGAGTGATGGGCCTCGTTGCCGAGGGTGAGCTTAGAAACGGCTTGTCTGGATAAGCGCTGTTCCTGAAGCACTTTGAGCCCCCGCTTAGCTGCCTCCCCCCCGGCAGCAGTCATCCTCCCAGCTCAAAAGTATTTTCACAAAATTATCATCTGAAATAGCTTTTCATTCTGTTGGTAGGATTTGGAAAAGGAGGAAAGACAAGGTCTGATGGCTTATGGGTTTTCCTCTTTCCATGTTAAACATGATGAGAGTATCAAGCCTGATTTTTAAAGGAGCTATTGTATAGATAACACATTTTTTTATATCGTTCTACATAGCCTTATAGAATATGTAAATATGGGTCACACAAATATATTGTGCTATAGAAAATATTTTGTACTACATAGTTTCCTAAGTAATAAAGATATTCTGGTTGTTGTGTATCGTACTGTACAATTATGATTCAAAGTTTAGCTTTACCAGATATTAAACAATCTATTTTCTAACAATATGCTGTAAGCATTTCTCATAGGGATTTGAGAGACTGACAGCAAAAGGAAATTGAGTTCTGTTAGGAAGAAAAGTCAGTGAGATCTGGTGTCCCTTCTGTCGTGTTTTTGCAATTGCCTTATCAATGTACAAGGGCCCTGAGTATGGAAAATGAAGATTCGTGGGCACTGTAGCCATTGCAAAACTAAATGCCGAGGAATGGACTGGTAAGAAAAATTCTGTATTTTTAATCTGTTGGAACCGGGCACTATCATGTTTGATAAAAGACACAAATTAATCCATTCCACTTTCTCCTTGAGTACTTCTTCTGTATAGAAGTGGTTTTATATTTTACAGCCAAGAGGTTTCATATTCAAAGAAAAGATGAAAATGTGAAAAGGAACTGCAATAAAAATGAACTAATTAAACTACTGTCTGTGGTGGGTCTTTGTAGGTATAAAATGTAATTTGAATAATGACAACAAGTGAGTTCTGCATTGAGCTGTGCTGTCAGTTGCAATTTGGGTTCAGCTTTGCATTGCTCAGATACTGAATCCCATCCCACCTCAGCTTTCATTTAGCAGAGCTGTGTAATGCCACAGGGCCCATGGGGGGGGCTTGCTGACTTAGATGAAAAAAACGGTGAAAATAGTTGCGTGTTGGAGGGCGTAAGCGTAGCATTGCAACAGAAACTGTCTATGTTGTCTGTGTCTTCCCTGGCTTGGTTCATCATTTCCACAATTCATCATCTGTCTCAGCCGTGATCCGTGCTAGGGCATTTTTGCCTCCTACAGAGAACTAACGAGTTTGGCTGTAAGTTAGTGACAGTGTAAATGATGAAGATGCTTTCCATAAACAGTTGCAAAGTTTGGATGCGATACAGCAATCACAGCAAAGAGCTCTTTTCAGTGTGTTTCTGTTTGGGTGATGTTGCAGAGGAGAGTTTTCTGGTTATGTGGCAGTTACCCAGGCAAACTGCAAGACTGACCATACCAAGTAAGAAGTGGCTTTTTGGTGATTTCAATAAAAGTTTCATATGTAGCTTCTGGTTCCAAGACTAGGCCTAGTAAAAGCAAGTAGAAAAGGAGTAGTAAAAGCAAGGATGTCAGCATCCTACTTGGATCTTTGTCCTTAAAGAAGTCCTAAGGTGGGGAGCGCTGCTGTCCTATCTGCAGGGCGCTCGGTCCTCTCTGCCTCTGCTGCGCAGGGGCTGCCGCTTTCCACTCAGCCTTCGGTTCCCAGTGAAGCAGCACAGGCAATACTGTGGGCTCAAACTTAAGCCTGCGATTGCGCTTTGCTGAATTGGGTCCTTGTACCTGGTCTGTGAATTCCTCTAATCCAGGGGTGAGGCCTGTTGACTGCAGCTCTTTGGAGATTTGTGTAAGGTTGAACTTAGCTTAGTTTTGCCTGTAGAACAGTGAATTAAGCCTGCTACAAGCAAAGCGAAATGCTATCTCACACTGGAAGGGCTGCCCTTGCTTTATCAGATTGTATATTTTGCCTCTAAAGACAGATCCATCCACGTACGAGGTACTTAGCCCCTGAAAGACACAGTCTCCTTGAACCCAGAGGAACACGCATGGAGGGGTGCTTCCAGCTGAACGCACCAGGGAGGAAGATGACCCGAAGTACCAAGAAGGAAAAGGGGCTCGGTGAGGATGGTGCTCCTGGTAAGGGTCAAAGCTGAGACGAGACCCCAGTCCCCGAGGTGCCCGTCTTGAGCGCTTGCTGTGCCTGAGCCCACCCTGCAGAGCTGCCAGGCAGCTGAGGACAGCCCTGCGTCTCGTGTTGTGTGTTAGCCCAAACAAGCTGTAAATATTTTGCACGGTTTTTTGCTTTGCAGTGTGCTTGGTTTCTAGGTTAAACCCTCCCATTAACTGCTGATGGGAGAGTTTTCCAGAGAATCTGGCAAGAAGTGACGTGAACATGCTGATGTGAATTTTGACGCTAATCTTCTGTAAATCGAGTGGCACATTTTTAAGGGACAGCCGGGAGAAATTTGAATAACATTTCCATAGTACACTGCGAACCCACGCTATTGAAATGAAATCTCATGGATGGAATTCAGTAGACGCAGCTGCTGTATCAGCGTCCAAATAATGTGCTGTTCTGTTCAGAAGCAACCCATAAATAGCACGGACTCCTAAAGCCGGCTATCAGAGCGCAACCACTCCAGACGAGGTAGCAGCAGCGTTGCTGTTCGGGCTGGAAGGGGCTTTAAAGAAGAATTAGCCTGTGTGTCTGAGTTGAGGTCTCTTGCTGTAGTGAATGTTTTGCTAATGTTTTGCAAGAAGTGATGCTGCAGGGTTTTAATTAACGTTTTCAAGGATTCTAGTCAAACTCAATTTCTTTATTCGTCTCTTACTAACCTCTTGACAGCCCGTTAAATTAGCATGGTGAGAGGCGAAGGGAGGAGGCGCGTTAGCCTGTGGTTTTCTATTCAATTAGGAAAGTGCTTTTATGAGATGCTCTTTGAGAGCAAAGCAGCGGATCTCACCGGTCATCCTAAGATATAAGTGGAGAGTGGTGGAAGGGGCCAGGCATCTCGTGCCACGAGGGGACGGGGGTTGCAGGGGCACGGGAGTGCGGTCGGCCTTTTAAACTCGGGCCGAAAGATGTCAGCAGCTGGAAGCTGAAGCCGGACAAATTCCTGTTGGAAACAAAAGGGCAGGCTTTCAGAAATGAGTTCATTAAACTACTGGGACAGCTTCCCAGCGTTAGAGAGGGATCCCTTGTCTCTTGGAAGACGACTTGGTTCAGTCAGAGGCTATTTGGCCCAGCACTGTAAAGACTGGGTGAGGATACAGGGCCCAAAAGGAGGAGGGAGAGGATGAATAAGGGAACGCTTGCTTCTAGCCTAGAAATCCCTGTGGATTTACAGAGCAGAAAACAGCTGTGTTCAGGAAGAGCTGGGCTAACTTTTGCTACCTGTTTTCGTGAAAGCTCGATCACTCTTTTTTTATTAAACATCTTATAATTTAATGACTTCCTCATGTGAAAGTGATGCTGTGCTAACCTACAATTTGGGGTTTTTCAGGCACAATGACTGAGCAGCAAAGTCCCCCCGAGCAGATGGCGACCGGGGAGGGTGCTGGCGAGCGAGGTGGCAATTACAAGGTATCCTGGCAAGGGCCAGTTACGGACCAGCTTTGTGTGTTGTCGTAGGTCACCTTGCACTGGAGCGAATACGTGTAAATCCGTTACTTGTGTCAAACTGCTGCAGTCAGTGTTTGCAAAGGAAGCAGCCTTCAGCTCCGCTGCTGCAGCAGCGCACTAGTGTCACTGCTGTGATAAATGTAGTCCTTGTCCACCCAGCTGAACTTCGTGGTGTCCCTGGGCTGGGGAGAGGCGCTCTGTTGGCGTGATTTACTGCTGCCTGAGAGGAGGAGAAGCTTCTCTGTGCGTCTGTTGCTTCCAAATGATTTTGCCTGGCAGTGCGTAACATGTGCAGCTGCACAGCTTTTTTTAATCCAGGAGATAAAGTATTCTGTCACAGCAGAGACGGACTGCAGGTTAGAGCAGTGATTTTCCCCAAGCAAGCTGCGTTTCCAGGCCCCTTTGTGCTGGGGGTCGCTCCTCTCCCCCGGCAGGGCAGGAAGCTTTCCTGGCCGGCGTTGGACGGAGGGCAACACCTCCTCCGTGCTTTGCGCTCAGTTTGATGCCGCGTTTGCGTTTCCGCGTTGCCCTCCCAGTGCTGTTTGCCATGTGACAGCTCTCAGTATGAAATACTGAGCGCCTGGGAGAGCGGGAAATCAGCTATGAGTTTTGCAATGGCCACAGCCCTTCCCGCAGCTGGGAAATGGGGACAAAGCTGCCGGCTCTGGTCTTGGCCGGGGAAGGCTGGAGTGCAGAGCGGATCCTGCAGCCTGGGATACAGAGAGCTTGGTCTGCTCGTTGCTTTGGGCTGCAGAGAAGCTCCCGAGGAGCACGGGTGTCGTCTCCTACCTTTGCTACCCCGGGATGGGGTGACGGTATCTGCAGGAGAGTCCGGCTGTTGTCCTGGGCGCAGGGCTT